AGCCATGGTGCTTTTCAGGTTGCAGATTTGGGTGGGGGGGTGTGTTATTTGGGGCCTCTCCCCTTTCTGGAGACCATCATGTCCCACAGGCTCAGCTCACCCTCCCGCCATGGCATCGCCAGACAGAGCCAGCGGTGTGGGCAGCAGCCCCGAGGAGACGGAGCTCAGCATCACCCTGACCCTCCGCATGCTTATGCATGGCAAGGTAATGGTGAGGGGGCTTGATGCTGCTTGGGGGGTGTCAGCAATGCCCAGGGTGGGACCATGCTGGAGCACCAGCTCCTTGCTACACGACATTTTCCTCTCCTGCTCCCAATCCGCCTGGGAACCGCATCCTCAGGAGGATTTTTTTCCCTCATCCTACGCCAGGGAGGGGCCTGTTCCCATCCCCCAGTGCCACCAGCAATCCACCCAGTGGCCGTGGTGCAGGGTCTGCCTGTTGCCTGTAGCCAGGTTGTGGGCAGGGGTGGGGATGTGGCAGGCAGGGAGCTGCCTGCTGACGGGGCCACCCTTGTCTCTGCCTTTGCAGGAGATCGGCAGCATCATTGGCAAGGTAAGATTTGGGGTCTGGGGCACTGCCAGCCCTGGGCTCCCCTGGACCTCACCACCTGCCCTGTTCCTCTCCCGACAGAAAGGAGAGACTGTTAAGAGGATACGAGAGCAGGTAAGGGTGTGCTGGGGGGCTGCCAGGCCCTGCTGCCTGTCCTGCCTGCACCTGGTGGCCCCCACGTGCCCAGCCTCGGCCCCCTCATTCCCAGGACCCAGGGGTGACAAGGCTGCACCCCAGGGAAGGCTGCCTAGAGCGGGTGGGAGGGGGAAGGCCCAGGTCTGCAGGTATTGAGGCCACCCCCGGGAGAGGGACACGGAGTACAGGGCCCATGATGTCCCTGACGGGGTGCGACACCGTCCCCAGAGCAGTGCACGCATCACCATCTCAGAGGGGTCCTGCCCCGAGCGCATCACCACCATCACCGGCTCCACCAATGCCGTCTTCCGCGCTGTCTCCATGATCGCCTTCAAGCTGGAGGAGGTAGGTAGCCCCTTCACACCCCCACCGGCTACTCCTACACCTGTGGGCTCCTGAGGGTCCAAGGCTGCATCTCTCACAGGACCTGGGAGCAGGGAGCGATGGGGCAGCAGTGGGCAGAGCACCTGTGACGCTGCGCCTTGTCATCCCAGCCAGCCAGTGCGGCTCCCCCCCCCCGCA